TGTTAACTCTTACAACTCATCTGCATTCATTGAATTCTTAGAGTGAGAATTCAGGGCATTCTTCAGACACAGTGGGATTAGCGTTTGCAATTGACGCATAACATCAATGTTAGAAGGTATTCTTGATGGCAAGAATTGTCATCGATCACAATTGTCACTGCTAGTAATATCACTAACACATGCGAGAAAATTTCCAGGTTGGAAAGTAGTACTGACCATGTAATGGGTCAGTTGAAAAGCAGAGTCTAAGTGGGATTCTTCCAAGTCTTTTGAACTCCTTTTGACCTGGCAGTATTTCTCACCTTCACCTCTTCAATATCTCTCACACGCACAGGTCAGCCAACCTTTCCGAGTGGGAGTAGGGCCAAGTATTTTGAAACAACTGAATGAAGAGAAATTAATCATTATTTACACTTTTGGGGTATGATAACCACCTAACGGTTATGGTTTTTGCCAGATCGAGAGGTCGCTATACTCGTGATCTCGTAGGGTGATTGGAATGACGAATGTTAAGTTTCATGTGCTCGTAATTTGAAAGTGCATGCGCTCTTTGCTTCAGTCATTCGGAAATTGTGCACCCCACCTATTGAAACATGAAGTTTTAATATTATATGATGGTTAATGTTTATTGGTATGCAATAAAGATCAGTTTAAAGGATAGTTGACATTAATGCCAAATCAATCAACTTATTGTACAATTGTTGGTACCAGCCAAATTAAAATGCTTCATTGAAGTGTCATTGCTTCCTGACTAATGAACATACATGTAATATTCATTGAATGCATAACACCGAGTCAGCATAATCTCTCAACATATTCAATCTCTGCCCTCCCCACCCACCCAACCACGCGCACCCCACCTCACCCCTCAAATGGTCACAGTTAAGTCTGAAAATTTAGTTATATTGTTAGGCCTTAGCGATTGATATGCTAAGCGCCTTGGGCGGAGGTCACACACTTGATGCGAACTGACGAATACCCAGAGAGAGGGGTAGAGAGTGCGAGAGAAATGACTCGCCACAATTGCAGTTCCTGAAGTATTTAATTTTCCTACCACATAGGTTATGTGATGCTGGTCTTGTACTCTGAAGAAGTGAATTGAATGGCAACTTCGAAGGTTGAATCAGTATTATTGAAGTTAAACCGTAAGTATTGTTTCTGCTACATCTTAATGATGCACTAACCTTACCTCTCGAAGAGTTGACTGAAAGCAATGACAACGGAGTTGAATATGGGCCTTTCCTATCTGTTCAAATTCGGATGAGCAATTGGAAGCGATTCGGTTTGGGTTTAATGTAACGAGAGTACTTAATCACTGTTGGCAAAATATGCACCTTTTTCATTCCAGTTTCATGAAAAGGTAATTTCTACTTCATTTTCTATGCACTTTATAAAAGTACGTTTTATCAGAAATGCTTTCTTCCATGAAGAAATCAGGTCGGATGTGATAATTTGCTGGTCCAGTGGGCTGTGACGTACCAATGAACTCCATGTGGGGACTATAAATATTATGGGGGGCAATTGAGAGCTTGAAGATATTATCCACAATGAAGTGCTATCACCTTTGTTTTAGCATTCTTCTCTTCTGTTTTCTCGCGAGGGCACGGAATGTAATTACTGACTCTTACTTGGATCATTCCAATTTTGAAAAGCACGATGACGTCAATGAATACAAAGGAAACATAGACAGAGAAGAAGACTATGAAAACCAAGATGAAGACGACTTTGGAGAAGACGATAACTTAGAAGAAGACGACGACTCTGAAGATGACGATGACGATGAAGAAGACGATGACTTAGAAGAAGACGA